CTAATGGGGGCTACATGCATATTTGCCATTGGAAGTTCAATTTGGCACAGTAATACACAAATAGGCATTGAATCGGGCAATTGGGCACGTTAAAGGGCAAATGGGCTTTGAAAAAGGCAAAGTGGCAAAAAGGCATGATTTTTTTCCGAAAATGGCGCCTGTTTGCACACTCTGCTTTGCGAACTCACAAGGCAAGGAGCCTATAGGCTATGCTTTCCGAGTTCGACGAATAAGGTCTCACTTAATCCATGATAAATACAAGAAAAACAATATTTAATTACGAAACTATCGCAACCGCACTATAAAATACGTCAAATTGGTGTAATACTGGTTACAAGATATGTTATTTAAGTTGCATCATAATAGGCAATATTTGGTATTCGAAATTAGACCCATACATCACCATACCTATTCAAAATTTAAAAAAAGTTATTGACATAACCGAATGTTATAAATTCTTAACAAAACAAGTAACAACAATCCAAAAGTGTCTACGTGCATCTCCTGACCTCTATAAATGTATAAAAGGCTCATTAAATGTGTGACACCGAAACTCTAGTCATGTATGTATGTAAAATAAGTTCAGCCAAGTTCGTTATCCACCTCTGCGTGATCGTTTATAATGCATCTGACAAACTATTTGGTTTTGTGCGTCATCGGTCCTTCATTGATGTTCAGTAATGCATATTTCAAACATACATACTCTGGAAAAAATCCACCATGCATGATGTTGATTCACGTCTTATTCTGGACATTCCCAATAAGTTGCACTTTAAAGAGTTTGTTGACAAATAATTAAAATCTTTTGCGCGAACACTGTAATTAAACTGTTTCCAATCCATCAATCAACAAATTGTTTCGCTGAAACGAACTAAAAATTTGATGGAATTGGCTTGTTTCATTGTTTCATCACGATCCGGAATCATGAACAACGGTCAGAATTTAAATTGGCTTCATTCGCTCGGGATGTTACCAAAATATGTCTATCAATCAAATTAAGTAAACTAAACTGTGCAGTTGTATTCATTCTTAAAGTTTGTTATTTCGACTTCAAGAGTTGGAACAGTTTCCAGAAGAATTATAATGGCGGTCCATTTGCTTTATCAAATTTGGGAATCCTTCATTCGGCTAATCTAACATTCCAATTGTCACATCAACTTCAACATTATTGCTTTTTGTAAAATTATATCCTTTTACCTTTGTGAAAGGGAGATTCGTTCTGTGAACGGATAAAAGGTCAAAAAGTTTAAGATATCTTGCCTTACTAACTGCATTGCTACATTTGTTCATGGTGTGGAACTGGTATGGTTCCGAAACGATGCTGTTCCACAACATCTATAGGAAGTTATGGTCGATCCAGAAAAGGTAGACGATGGGTCAAATATTATGGAAATGTCGAGAAAATGGCTGTCTGTGAAAATTTCAAAACTTTGTTTATATCGTTGGAAAGGTGTCAACAAGGGGATTAAGAAAATGTATGTTTGGTGGGGAGTCCAACAACCCCCAAAGAGGGGCAATACCCAAAAGTTTTGAGTTGTGGTTCTCCAAAACTTAACACAGCGAGGGACTGGGAGTTTACACTGCATGGTATCGAGAGAAACTCAAAATCGTGCTCCGATCGTCTACCTTCTCTGGATGGACCATAGCCCAGCTCACCCCAGCCAAGCAATTTTTAAATTAATTATAAAGCAGTATGTTGCCGAGCCACACGTGTAATGTTGTATTAAATCAATTCAGGAATAGCTAATAAATATTTCTATTAAGTTTCAAGCAGTTTCTATGTGTGCTACTCTTGCAATTTGGACTCAAATATGCATATTGATATAAGCCAGGTTATCGATTTTTAGCAATTTCTACAAGCTAGCCCTCTATGTTTTGTTTAATGGATCATATTCATAGATCCTTCCCTGATCTGATTCTTGACTCTTACTCAGGGATGACTAATGATGAGTTCTGGCAAGTTTCATCAAATTCGTATGTGTGCTACTCTGGGAAATTAGATTTATTATAAATTTGCCATGATTTTCATATGTATTTAGACGTTCCCGGTTTTTGACTATTTTAAAATTTTATCCCTCTACGATTTGATACTTGAATATTGTTCAGGGACAGGTAATAATGATTTCCAGAAAGTTTCATGAAATTTATGTGTGCTACTCTGGGAAATTGCATTTATTGCAGATTTAATAAAGTAATAGATATGAGAAACAGAAGGATTCGTAATTCCATTACGGTTGAGGACACCATACCGTTTTGCAATGTCTGCATACGTGAAGCAGATCATGCGAAATTTACACTGGAACGACCTTGTTTCATAAAAACTATATGAATTAAATATTTATAATGTAAGCTCAAGTCTTTTGTATATTTTATGAAGACCTTTCCGTGTAACATATTTATTATTTGTTGTGTATATGTAGTCTAATATACTGTTCGTAAATAAAGTTGCAATTCATGAATGGGGCCACCATTAAACATTGGTGCAGAATGATAACTAACGTATGTTCCATTACTTCAAAATTATATGTTAAGAATTATATCCACTTATTGTTAGTTATTGTGCATAACAAGTTTAAACGATTGGGTTACCTAATCATTGTATCTACTGCAAAATTGTCGCTGCCTACAAAAATGATTCAGGTATTATATTCTGATAATTTAAATTGAGGGTAAAGTAAATAATCCAAGGATCAATTTCAATACAGCAGAACGAGCATTTATTAGTTACTCAGTAACTTTAAACTAGTATAACACCAAATTTAAAAGAAAACAAATATAAAGAAATTACTTGTTACAGAAATAAGGAAAATTTGATTGGTACGTATGAAATTACTCGAAATAAATAGGAAGCATTGTTCATCAATGAAGGACTTCAACGTCAGGACAACTGGGATCTTTGCCTGGATTATATGTTGTTTAAGCGGTGGGCCCAACACAAACATAGGGTCTACTGGTCTAACTTACAAAACTGTAAGTTCTCTAAACTGGCCGTACAAATCCCTCATGAGGGCCTAAGTGGTAAATCACTGTGGCCTTCGAGGGTTGGTATGCGGTCACTGTAGGTCACTACAGTGACCGCATTTTCTACAGTGACTGTAGAAACTACAGGTCACTGTAGTTTAAATGGGCATCTGTTTAAGATGGGTCTCGTAGATTCTGTTACCTGCACGCTGTGTGGGAAGGCGGATGAAACTATGTAATAAGCCACACATCTGTCTGACTGTCCTGCTCTCAGTGCCCTGAGGTTTGCGTGCTTTCAATGGCCTACTCTAAGGGCTGAGGAGGTGTGGGATCATCCTCTAAAACAAATACTGGGCTTTTTAATAAGGTCTGGTAGGTTTTCTAGCTTTGTAGCTAGAGAATCAAAAGGTGGCTCAATACAGTAACCGCGAGCGAGATGTGTTTGAGTTGTCGGCAATAGGTCATAACTGTGACTGCGCGGCTGGGCTTCTATCACTTTTATAGGTAGAAGTCCTACTCACATAATACATACATGTTGTTTTAAATATTAATACATAAAAATAGATTCGAGAAGCATTGTGGAGTCAGGAATCAGTTAAATATTTACCTTAAAGTTTACAATCCTGACACTTTCGAATCCTTTTGTCAACAGAAATGCAACTTTGGCAGTTTCGTTGAAACAATTTATTTCATTCCCACTCAAGTTATGTCCAAAACACAATGTTTTTTTACCTGCGACTTAATTGTAACAATTGTAATAAGTAAAAAAAATACCATATGATCCAGATACGCGAAAAGCATCTATTCTATATACCTTTAAAATTCGATAAAATTTGCAAAACGGCCTCAATGTTGTCCATGTTTATTACATTCTCGAACGTAATGTTTGAATTTTTAAGATTGTTCCAGGAGCCAAAAGCCTTCATTGCTTGCTTGTCGTTGAAAGATATAGTATCCTCGGACGAAAACACATTGATTTACTTAGGTTAGATTCGATTTATTTTTAAATCATTAACGTTTGAGTAATTTCGTGCCGAAACGAACTTCATATTTATCAAATATTTATTCATTCATTCATTCAAGTTCATTACATGCATACATTTCCGGATATATTGTATATGGATTTGTACTTTGCACGAGAAGAAGATATTGATTTTATGTAATCATTTGATCATGCATACAAATATTAAATCCGAATCATGCCTAAAGCATAATGCTTATCAATGTTGCGCTTACATATGTACAGTTAGTTGTATGTAAGATAGTGCATAAAACATTTATACCGAAATATATTAAACACAGATGTCGAACTTTTTATGGGAATGATTTCTGGAATGATTATTTCTTCAACAAACATGTTATTCAGTTTAAAATTATCATGATTGTACTTATTATACGTACTCATTCCTGTAATTGTTTTTGATGTTTGATAGATTACATAATCGCTGATAATAAACTCTTGATTAGTCTTGTATGGATGCTGTATAATGTCCAAACAAGTATTCCAGCTATGCCATGGACCCAGTATCTAATCTAAACCTTTAAATTATTTCGAAGAGTTTTTTTAAACCTTTAAACTTGGATCGTCGTGTGCGGCCAGGATTATAGATTTCTAATTCGTTGCGCGATCATGATCCTGATAAATCCCCAGAAATTAATTCCGACCATGAGAAGTCAATTACATCCTATTGCATTGTCGATTCTCATTACTCTTACTGCTGATGTGTGTGTAATTTTTAGTCTAATAGTTTTTTTTTGCTATTATTTAACCATTTGAAAATCGGTAGTTATGCTATAATTCTGAATTCCATTGAAGACGTGAATTACTTAAAATTTTCCACTCTGATGCAAACCAAATCATGGAATGGTGATTGATTGGCATATAAGATTATTAATAATCTGGCATAAGTAAAGTGTACGCACATGGATCTGCGTTCGTGTTCGACCACCCAACTTCATCTACTTATGATAATATATGCACTTCCATGAACCATACAGTATTTAACGGAGATGCATTACCTGCTCTTATTCATTATTATCAACATAATTACGGTTATAATATTTTTTTCTGACCACTTGAATTCTTGAAAATGCGAAATCTCAATTTCTCCTCCTTCTTCCTACTTGTCATAATTCTTACGTCGGGTTTAGTTCAAGGTACGTTTCCTCAACAAAATATGCATCTCAATCTTTGCTAAATTAGAATCAGATGAAATATGTGTGCAAAAATTGTTACAGATTCGATAGCAGAAACCTGCCCTGGTGGTAGTATTCGCGAGCCCTGTAACGAAAACGAGGGTTGTCCGGAGGGTTACAATATTGAATTAGGGCCTGTCACCAAAGAATCTCAAACCTGTCAATTTGTCCGACCATTGACACCGGAGGAGCAAGCTAACCAGACAGCATGCATATGCAACCAATTCATCAACTCCTGCACAGAAGACGACCTATTCGAATGCATTGTGGACATCACGGTTTGTCCGAAATCAATTCAACAGGAAATTTGCAGTGGACAAAAAGGGTTTACAAAATCAGCAGGCGTTTGCAAACCATCCGACCCAACCCACAGTGTTATTCACCCTGAAAAGGCACGTGATTGGATTGAATCTACTTGTAAGAAAATCGATGGTTATTGCAGAAAAATTACCAGAAAATCCAGGGGCAATGTACACTATCGTAAAATATCGTTTTCACAGTGTGTTGCCGTTAGCAATGAAAATTGCAAATTAATTTTCTCTGGCAAATATTAGACATTATGCAAATCGTTTTAGTTCCATTGAGAACTATTTTATTATATTCAATTCTGGCAACATTTTTCTAATACTGTTGAAATTTACGCTCTTTGGAAAATTATTATGCACCTTATTATTTACGCAATTAGAATAAAATAATTTTACTCAATTGTAATGTGTTTGAATGAAACAGTTCTATGAATACTCTGCAGCTTAACCAAACTTAACTAACACCAAAAATAAATGTTCTCAACTAGACTGGCTAACTAATATGTAAATATTTGTCTCCATTTAAGTCTTCTAGTTGCTTAGCAACCATGACGATGATGCCAATGCAATGACAAAATTTTGATAAACCCTTTTGAGTATTTTGCCATTTAATTTTTACCTGAAAATCGTTATAATTCTACTCTTGCTTCCGCGAGGCTTAAACCGATAATTCATCAAGCGTTTCAATTTTTGCGTTAGACGGACCAATTAAGCATTTATACCCGTGGGCATGCAATAATCGCCTACAAGTTGGGAATTCGTATATGATAGTGCATGGAACATTTACATCCAAATAATATGAAACACAGATGTCACATTTCTAATGAGACTGATTTCTTCAATGATTATTTTCAAGAAAACATTATTTATTTTAAAATTATCATGAGTGTACTTATTTATTATAAACACAGATTACTGTAATCTTTTTCGTTGCTTGATAGATTATATACCTAATCGCTTATAATAAACTCTTGGTGAATTTTGTACAGGTTAGACGTTAAAAGTTATGGTATATGGAGTAAGGTGCAAAATAAAAATAGATCCTCCTGTGCGGCCAAAATTGCTGATAATTCGTTGCATGATCATGATCCTGGTAAGGTTTAGGTTAACCTAACCTCCCCTGAAAGTAATTCCGACCATGAGAATTGTTTGTCAATCACATCCTATTGAATTGTCGATTCTCCATACTCTTACATACTTCTTACATATGAATTCATATTTGCCGAATGATTTTTTTGCTGTTATGTAACCATGTGAAAATCGGTGGTTATGCTATGGATTTAAATTCCATTGATCCCGAGAATTCATTAAATTTTCCACTCTGATGCAAACCAAATCACGGAATGGTGATTTATTGGCATATTAGATCATCAATAATCTGACATAATTCAAATTTATATTAGTACCTCCGATCTTATCCGACCACCCAACTTTACCTGCTTATGATAATGTATGCACTTCCATGACCCATACAGTATTTAAAGGAGATGCATCATCTACTCTTAACCATTCTCATCAAAATTATTAAACTGGCAAAGACTATTTTCTGACCATTTAAATATCCCTGAAAATGGGAAATCACAATTTCTCCTCCTTTGTCCTGCTCGTCATAATTCTTACTTCGTGCTTAGTTCCAGGTACGTTTTCTCAAAATCTGTATCTCAACCTTGACGTAATAACGAATCAGATGAAACATTGAAATATTTGTGCAAAAATTGGTACAGATTCGATAGAGGAAACCTGTCTCGGTGGAAGTATTCGCGAGCCCTGTAATGAAAGCGATACCTGTCCGGAGGGTTACAAGATTGAATTGGGAACTGCCACCAAAGAATCTCCTAGAACCTGTGAATGTGTCCGACCATTAGCACCGGAAGAGCAAGCGACATGCACATGCACCCAATTAATCAACTCCTGCAAATCTACCGGACCATAAGACAACCTATTGGAATGCTACCTAGCCATGACGAATTGTCCGGAATCGACAAAATAGGATCTTTGCAGTGGGAAAGAAGAATTTAAAAAATTTGCAGCCTTTTGCAAATCATCAGATACCCAGCAAACGATATGTTCATCATATGACTATCGTGTGAGATGATCAAGATGATGAACTCCAGATTATCCAAATGTCCGATTATTCATATCATATGATGGGCTATACGACGATCTTGTGATGAACTTCCGGATGATCATAACGATAATCATGAAGATTTTCGAAATGATGGTCGACAGATGACCATAATGATAATCATGAAGATGATCGTGATGATGGTCGATGGATGATCAACTGGTTTGTATGAATTAATTGTACACTGATTGCAAACTCAATAATTTAATAATTAATTGTTCATTAATTATTTACATCCCAAATTGTTTAACGATTTAGTCTACACTATATTAACGATTCTATTAATTTCGATAAGGTGATAACATTTTGATAAGCTCAATAAAATTTTTGAGGGATTGTCAAATAGTCATAGGCACCACGTGTAGGAAATATTGAGTTGTCAAGGAATTCAATGCTACATGCACACAATCTGTTCAAATTCAATCATTCTTTGCAATCCCCTTAGTTCTGTCGCTTTTATGATCCCACCAAGTTTTTATTTTCTCTCTTATAGTGAGAATGTCGGCGCTGGGATGTTTTAGTAGAACAGCATCTAATTAATGTAGGAATTAAAAAGAAACAATGAGTGACTGCAATCCATCTTCAAAAATCAAAGTAGCCCCATACCCATTACCTTTGACCACCATGTATGATTCAGTCACTTCGAAGCGAATAGTATCTGGATTCTTGGTAGTACTCTTACTGCTGAACACGAAGTGAGGTTGTACCTGAACTGAAAACATCGCCTTCAACAACTTGGGAATCATTCCCTCCACGTTTTTGTGAATAAACTTTTCTTCTGCAATGATGGCCTTCAACTGTAACATGAGAAGAATTTTTACTTGTGACACGTAGTTGGGAGAACGGAGACAATCACATACCATGGATTTATATTTCCCTTTCTTGGAGGATCCGGATCCCTCCAACTGCACTTCTTCCTCCCGTCTAGAGAACAGGGCTGCCTCCAGAGTAGTGAAGGCATCTTTGTCCATTACAGGCCACTGTCGCAAAATATCATCTGCTTCCTCGGAAGTTCCGCCGGAGGCCTCATTCTCACACAATGCTTGGGAAGAGTATGTTCCCTTCAACTGTAGAACAGCCTTCATTAAGATGCGATCTAAAATAATAGAGCTAGTTATTATTATGTAAATAACTAATTTATAAAATGAGAAAAAAGGGGACAACTTACGGCATTTCAGAAAATCCCTTCCTGTTATAGGCTTGTCCAAGTCTACACCTGGATACAGTTTCCTTAGGATTTCATCCTCATCCTTCATCTTCCTTCTTTTGGGGGTGGAGGCGAGTGGGGTTGATGGCGGAGGTAGCAGTGGGGAAGCACTAGGTGTAGAGTTGGTGTTGTTGAGGGATTGTTGTAGGGAGGTAAGGGCATTCTGATTGGATTGAAGGACACTATCGTCCAAGTCATCATCGGACTCTAAGTCGGTACGCTTGTGATGGGGAGGGCTGCCATCCTCTGAGTCTGAAATGGTAGGGCTATGAAGGTCCTCAACTCTACAAAGGCTGGGACCAGAACGCCTCTTCCTTCTTGGAGGCCATGCTACTTTCCTTGATGCTTCCTCGGCTCTTAGGGCTCGAAATTTCCTTGTCTCCTTTGGCGGTGGTTCGTCGTCAGCAGATTTGGCAGCCTCAGCAATGCTTTCCCCTTTACGCTCTGCTTCCTGGCAGGCCCGAAGTATCTTCTCAGCAGTTGCATAGTTTCTGAAATTTACAATAACTTGTCACATCTAAATTGAAATTTATCACATCCACAATAATCACCACCTACCTTTTCTCTTCACAAAGCAACAATTATATTCTTCCCATGTAGAGTCCGGGATCTCCTTTTTTCGGTAGAGTTCCCTCAATTTCGTATTAGACGAAGGACCAGAGGTAGTCGGCCATTTGAAGACATAACTGTTGAATACCGCCTCCTTCACCTCACCATTGTCGTGGTAAAGAGGATTACCTTTGTCGTCACATAGCACTTTTTTTGTCTCTTCCTTTCTTATCCAGAGGTCCAAAACAAGAAACTCCTTCTGTATTTTGTCCTCATCCAGATAGTGATATACAACATTGAAACCCATTATCCGTATCCGACTTTTTTCTGATGATTGTTAATGACAACGCACACAGCACTTTACTTTTACAATTACGACAATTTTACAAATACATTACGTCCAACAATTATTTACCAATTGCAATAGTTTCCTAATTTTTTATATCAACTCCTACCTACTTGGAATAATTTAATCAATTTATTAACGTGAGAGGTTTTGAGGAATTTTTAGAAATAATTAAATTGTTATTTGGAAGGAGGGACGAGAGCTTTTGAGGAGAAGAAGGAGAAGAAAGAAAAGAAAGAGCGGACCATTTCCCACCAAACAAGCCCTCCATTCCTCATCAGCCTCAAATCTCATCTTGTACTACAAAGCGGAACCAGATGAAGAATGTGATCATTGTCTCTTGTGTTGTCCTTGTCTTCTTCGTCTGGAATGACACACATTTTCGCACTGATTTCACTTATCGTAGATTCTCTGATATCCAATTCCAATTCAGTTGCTTTATATATCCCTAATTGCTTGGAGTCAATCGGATATTTGAAAGCACTTTCTAACACCGCAAAGCAATACCCTCCGAGCAGAATTGTTCCATCCTGTCTTCTGAAGTATTCCACAGACATAACACATCCATCCGATAAGAGTACAATATTATTCCCATCCTTTAAGCAATCAATAGTGAATATGTTTGTCTCCAGTCGGGAAAACTTTCCCGGATCGGTAACAATGGGATTGAGTAGGGCCTCCTTTCTTTCTCTGCTTTGGGCCAACTTGTCAGTGTTATCCATTTTGGCAAGAAGTGAAATGACAACTTGCATGAGTGGCTGATTTGGCTTCTTTAACATTCTCTTCAGCTTTCCCAAGAATGACTCAAACACAAAAGCACTGAAATCGTTAATTGTTCCCCATTTATTTACGTCATCCCATAGATGGACAAGGTTGTGGACATTGTAAACAGCATATTCCCTTCCATATATTGCCATTCCTTCAACAACAAATTTGTATAGGAAGTAGTTTGCTTGATTACCGAATTTTGATATGAGTTCAGGGCAGCTAAAGATGTAACAGGCAACGTGCATATGAAGGAAATGTTGATATTGATCGTCGGAAGTTACGTTTTTAAGAAGATGAAAGCAGTAGTAGATGAGAATGTGCTTATACTCCTGACCCTTAAACTGCTTAAGGAATTGGATGGCCCTCGGCTTCCTATTGAACTCCAGGGGGGCAAATTTTGCATAGCTTTGCATTCTTTCACTCATCTTCTTTATAAGAGGATGGCGGAGGCGGAACTTTCCCTTTCGTTGTACACACCACATGTAAAGGTTCCTTCTCATAA